CCATGTTCAGCAGAACGGCCGCAGCGGGTACATCCTCCAGCCGGACTGCATGCGCGACCCCGTGTACGACCCCTTCATCCGTAACACGCTGAGGGGAGTGGACCCGATCACGGTGACTCTCACCATCTTCGGCGGCCGCCATTTGCCGAAGGCGGGTCGAGGCATCGCCAGCCCCTTCGTGGAAGTTGAGATCATTGGAGCAGAGTACGACAACAGCAAGTTCAAGACTGAGACGGTTAATGACAATGGCCTCAACCCACTGTGGACCAAGGCCGAGTGTGAGTTTGACGTGGCCAACCCAGAGATAGCGTTCCTGCGGTTTGTTGTGCAAGATGAAGACATGTTTGGTGATCCCAACTTCCTGGGCCAAGCCACTTACCCTGTCAAGTCTCTCAGGAGGGGGTTCCGGTCTGTGCCGTTGAACAATGGCCACAACGAGGAGATAGAGATGGCCAGCCTGCTGGTCTACATCGACATCTGCAATGCAAGGGTATGGGAACACTTGTTTTTCCTTTGGGAGATGGTCTTTTTTGATTGAAGAAATTAGTGGTTGTCTTATGTGTTTGGTGGGGTAGGAATATTCAGATGTAATGCAAACATAGCTGTTAGCTGGGGTCTGTTCTCCAGAACTTGTGTAGATCAAAGTTAGGAATTCATACTCTTCAGACAGCACTTTCATAAGCTGTGGTCATGTGAGTACATTTTAACTAATGACATGGGGGGGGGGGGCTGTGACTTGTGATAATTGTTTATGTATTTGTACGGTAAGACTTAGAAAGTAATAAACGCATAACAAGGAAATTTGATTGAGATATAATTATAGTGCAAGTGGTGTGGAGTGTATCTAAAGATAGTTGCAATCCATGACAGGTGAATATGTAACAAGTGTCTACCCTTCACACCATCCTTCCTACAATTTCATGTGTTTAAATTTGCTTTGTTTTGCCTTCAGGAGGATGATGATGAAGACATCTACAACAACATCGTCACACTACGAGACAAGACCCAGATACTGTTCGACAAAGTCAACAACATCGGCCGTGACCACACCAGTCCTGAGGAGCAGAACAAGTACATGGCCGAGCTCAGGCACACCGAGGAGGAGCTCTTAAAACTCAACGAACAGCGCCGAGCAAGAAGGTAACATTGCTGTTTACTTTACTACAGCAATATGTCAGCTATAGTTTTCTGTCGTGAGGTTGTGTGGTGCAACAGGATGCTTGACTCTGAACCAAGAGGTCCTGGGTTCGAGTCCTGACATGCCACTGATCTTGTGCCCTTGGGAAAGGCACTTTACATGACTTTCCTCACTTAACTCAAGTGAAAATGAGTATTGTCCTGTCTTGTATTTGTTTCTATGTGTAGGACACAACATAAGCAACAACTGCCTGTGTTCCATGTGTATTGTACTGTTACAGCTCCAATAAATCAAATCAAATCTTGATTTGTACCTACAATATTATGTTATCATCCACTACTTTTCATCATTTAGTAAGATTTACTCTTGTTCGTCCACCAACTTTCATAAGATAACCAACATGGATGTTGTTGCTCCACAGGAACAAGAGCAGGCGGGGAGCGATCGCTGGGATCACCAACCACAGACACATGGCGGCCAGGAAGACCCCCAGCTCTGCCAGTACCTCTTCCCTCAAGTCCCTCAGGCACTGAGGGGGAGGGGGGCACTGAGGGGGAACGGGGCAGGGTTTCCTTCAACTGAACAATACAGCTCTCGCCTTGTAGTTGTATACAGGATGAACTTAGTCTTTCACTGCTTTAACTACTCAAGTATCACAAGACTGTGTAAAAAAACTTGTGATGGTTGTGGCATTTTGCCATCATTGTAGAAACTTACTGAAAGGTCACACCTAGTGGGTGGGTGGAGAAAAAGAGATCAAGAACAGCTTGCTGGGCATTGTTAGTTTGTATGATAAATTTGGAAAAGGTTCCACAGTACTCGGTGTATCCATTATGTCTGTGATATAGGGGAGTAACTGCAGTGGTTGAATGTCCTGATTCTCCTTGTTGTGTAATAACAACAGCATGCTTGTACATAAAGTATACCATGTACAAGTTGCACAAGCAGCTACGCAATGCATTATGATCGTGGGCCTAGCCATGAAAACTCTTTGACTATTGTAAAAGTTTGTCGAAGTTTCTTTTGAACTTATATACCACAGAGTAAAGCAAAAGAAGTTGTCAAATGTTGTTCAAATAGACATGCAAACTATAGACTTCTAAGGAAAGTAATCAGAAAACAATAAGAGCTGTTTATATGGGAACAATGTATAATGTAGTCAGGAATCATTTTATTGTTGGCTTCTGAAAGGTTTTTATATGCTTCTGGTATGTTTGGAAGGCTGGTAAAATAAAGGGAGCCTGTGTCAACCTCTTGCACACACTGTAATGTAATATAATAAAAACGAGCTTAATATAAGATGATAATTTCCCTGCTAAATCTGAGACCATTTTAAAGTAATAACCTGTTTGCTCTGCGCTCGCCGGTGCTGGAATTTTCTACCTTTGATGTGTAAGATGGCAATCAGAAACAGTCCTACCACTGTTTGCAATATGATATGTAACCGGTTATTCAAGTTGCCATTGCAAAGATGCCCACCAACAACCAAAAGTTTCCTTCTGGGCAAGATGAAGTTGTATTTATTCCAAGTGGTCAGTTTTTACCTCACTGAGACTGATTTTTCTTATGATGTTACCCTACTAGTTCTACTTTGTAGTTTGTCCTTTGATGATATCAAAGTAGTTTACGGCAGAATGTAGATTGTTCCGATATCATTCCAGTAAACGGTTTAATGTATAAAAGGTAAATCTCAGCACTTCCCAAAGGCTAAGAAACTTGTCTTAAGGTACCACAGTCTTAAGTCATGTGAGATGTAGTCTTGTCTGATGCATGCTGCTTCAGAGTTTAATTGAGTCTTTAATTTTTATGATAAGCTGTAGGTGTTTAGATTCTGGGTATTACAATAATGGTTCAAGCCAAGACTCAAGTAAACTTCCATGGGAAGTGATATAATCTTGAACAAAGATGACACCATTAAGAATGAAGTCAATGCTGTTTTTTCTGGGATATATAGAACTGGAAGCATTGTTATACTAGGACATTACTCAAGCTCATATACTACAGTTGAATCTTGGAATAATGTGAGAGTACAGTTATGGACATTTCATCTGTAGAAGGGTGTTTTTAAGTGCAATGTAATGATAATGTAACAAAGGTTCCAAACTATCTTTGTCATGATGGCAAAATTGTGTTCTTGAGAGAAGAATTGTTGTGGTGATGAGTATTCTTCATATTGTTGAACTGTAGAGGTACGGCCAATGATTTTTGTATGACATTGTATATAGATGTGCATTTTATGGAATCCAGGTCTTTATACAATGTATTATACTCCAAATACGCTTTTTTTTATTATTGACGCTTGTTTGAATGATAAATGGGACTTGAGAGGTTAAAATCCCAAGGAAACAGCTGAACAAGTACTAGACGTAGTTGCATAGCTCTTCAGATTTTGATCTTCGCTTTTCTTGTTTGTTAGTTTTTGTAAAGATGTTTGAATATTACCAAGAAAATGTGAGAACTGCGGAAAGAAAGAAGTTTGTTTATAAAGGAAGAATAAGTGATCAAATCTTTTACTACTCCATGCAGGGAACTTTGCAAGTTCTTGTTGATCAAATTCATGTAACGAAATGAAAATTTTGAAAAAACAATTATTTCAAAAGATAAAAAACGGGCAAGAAATGTATTCCATTAAAAACAGAAGAAGAAGTTAAATGTTACATCCCTACATTCATTTGAATGTTCAGCAAGAAATCAGATTTCTATATCTATTATGAAACAGACTATACGTGAATCTACTCAAGTTTTTAACACATAAAAATTACATGTTGGTTGAGGAGGCGGTGTTATTTTACCTGCATTTTACAAAATTGTAGCTTTCATTTAAAATGTTAGTAAGTGCTTCAGGGAACAATTGGTTCAAAAATCAAATAAAGCCTGAGTGTGTAATTGTAAGTACGTCTATCAATGATGTCTTGTACACAACTACAGTCCAGTTACTCATCTTAATGTACTACTACTGAACAGCTTTAAGTGAGAAAGATGTCATGATGGGGACTGATCAATTCCGTGATTGCTTTCTGTAAAATACAATATGCGGTGATCTGACAAAAAAGAAATCCCCCAGAATGTAACATACACGGAAATAAAATTGTACTGCATACCTATAATGCTATTTTGAATGTGAACTTCTACCTACACAGCTGAATAATATTTGGAATGTAAAAAAAATGCATTGTGAAAAACTAACTCCTGTTGGAGTGCTATCAATGGAGCCGAGAAAAATAAATGAGCTATAAAGGAAATGGTGTGAGTTTTTCGATTTTATTATTTGATTCCTTGGCTCTGTGTGTTTAACATTATATCCTATGTTTTTTATGAGGCACCTGAATGGCCATGTTGATTTGATTATATGCATGACATCCACATGCGCATTAATTTTTGT